TTTCCGCTCCTTGTTTTTCCTATGTGGAATGTGTTTGGAGAATTGTTTACGTGGAGTGAGTGCTTGATTGGATTCTGGTGAGGATTCTTTGAGCCTGATGGCCAATCCAACCCACCTTGTCTGGACTCTGGAGAGAGGGTCACGAGTTGTGTTATAGTTAGAGATAGAATTAGAGAAAGCAGTATGTAGTTTTAGTCTCTTCCTTTTCATATAGTATATTAATGTATTTTAGCCATAATTATAATAAAGAAATCATTCAGCCTTCTGAAGTGAGTCAGACATCATCATTTCTTCCCATTGGGTTTGCCTGCATTTACAATAGACAGGAACTCCTGTGAGTGTCTGGGACCTCCCGCCTCTTTGGCAGCCTGGGCACTCCTGGGATGTCACCGTGGAGCCCCTGCGAGTGCCTGTGACAGATCGGTGCCTTTGCAGCACAAGGTGCGCTGGGATGTCACCATGGAATGGCTGTGACTGCCTCTGACCACTCGGCTCCTTACCATCCCCAGAAAGCCCTGGCAGGTCTCCACGGAGCCCCTGTCTCTCTGTGTGTGACATTCCAGCTCTTGAAGAGCCTGGAGACTTGGGAAGTCCCCATGGAACCTCTCTGAGTGCCTGTGGCAACTCGGTTCCTTCACAGGCAAACATCCCCAGCCCCTGTTGCTGTGGTCAGTTTCCATGGAGACCATCATCAACCCCCCATTGCGATGGTCAGTTTCCATGGCAACCATCCCCAGCCCCTGTTGCTATGGTCAGTTTCCATGGCAACCATCCCCAGCCCCTGTTGCTGTGGTCAGTCCCTGGGCAGCTCCATGGAGATCCCATGCCAGGGGTGGTTGCCATGGACACCAGCTCAGGCCTGCAGCCACAGGCTGTTGCCATGGCAACCTCTGGCATCCCATTCTCAGGATCATGGGATCCCAGAACCACAGAACTGGCTGAGCTGGGAGGGACCCATCGGGGTCCTCGAGTCCAGCTGCTGGCCCTGCACAGGGCACCCCAACACTGCCAGCCTGGGCCTGGCAGCGCTGTCCAAACGCTGCTGGAGCTCAGAGAGCCCTGGAGCTGTGGCCCTTCCCTGGGGAGCCTGGGCAGTGCCCCAGCAGCCTCTGGGCAAAAACCTTTTCCTGAGATCCAACCTCAGCCTGCCCCGACTCAGCTGCAGCCGCTCCCTGCACTCCTGTCCCTGGGCACCAGAGTGAAGAGGTTCCCTCAGCCCCAGCCAGGGACCCGCTCCCAAGGCTGCTGCCATGGCCACCAGGGCTGGCACCAGCTGCGATGCTCGGTTTCCATGGGCCGGGATTCAGGAATGGGATTCCCCAATTTCCTGCTCCCGCTAAAACTGCGCTGCCTCTCGCTGCCCTCCCGCCTCCCATGGAAAGCACAAAAGGCAAAGATCCTGAGCTGGGATTAGAACAATTTAATGGGAACAGCAACGAGATAAGGAACAAACAGGAACAGCGACAACAAAAGGGATAAGAAAAACTATTTACAAGGAAAACTACATCACAATCAGTAGACCATATGTCATTCATCCACTCAGTTGTACATGCCACTGAACTGCTGCACCAGGGGACTGGCATTATCACACCTTGCGTTTCCCTTTGGCATTCTCTTTCAGGGCGCAGATGAGACAAAACCAAAAAGTTCAGCTTTAGTCAAACTTTACCTTCAAAGGAAATTCAGGACTGTGCAGCAGAGACCAATGTTCTGCATGTTCAGGAATCTCGTGCAGAGAGTGATGCTCTGTGAAATCAGGAATCCTGTGCAGAGAGAGATGCTCTGTGAAATCAGGAATCTCGTGCAGAGAGCGATGCTCTGTGAAATCAGGAATCCCGTGTAGAGAGTGATGCTCTGTGAAATCAGGAATCCTGTGCAGAGACCAATGCTCTGTGAAATCAGGAATCCCGCGCAGAGAGCGATGCTCTGTGAAATCAGGAATCCCGCGCAGAGAGTGATGCTCTGTGAAATCAGGAATCCTGTGCAGAGAGCAATGCCCTGTGAAATCAGGAATCCTGTGCAGAGAGCGATGCTCTGTGAAATCAGGAATCCCGCGCAGAGAGCGATGCTCTGTGAACAATCACTCGGCCAATGGCCCAGTGCAGCCGCCTGCAGGAGCCCAGGCTGGCACAACCAGCCCGGAGCCGCTCTGTGGCTACTGAGCCGGGCCGAGCCGGGCCGAGCCGGGCCGAGCCGCAGCGATTTTCAAAGGAGATTGGCACTGGAGCTACTGACTTGACTTCGGTGCTTTCTGTGAAAAACGCCAAGCACTTGGTTTTTAAGATTTTAAAAGTTTAATAATTAGAGTAATAAATTAACACTTAGAGTAATAAAAGTTTAAGAGTTAGGACAATTACAAGACAATAAAAAGCAAAGAATTACGGACGTCCGGACGCTGTCTGTGAAAAACGCTGCGAGGCCTTTCCCGCCCTGCGCCGCCGGGATCTGCCCGGCGACCGATGACATCACTGGAGCCTCGAGCTGCCATTGGCGGGCCGCAAAGAGCGGAGCCAATGGCGGGGCCGGAGGCGGCTCTGGGGGCGGGGCCGCAGCGGAGCGGCGCCATGGCTCCCGCGCTGGGGCTGGGGGCGCTCCTGGGCCCCGGGGCGGCGGCGAGAGGCGAGGGGGACCCCGGCACCGGGAGGGACTCTTTGATCGCCCATTCCGGAGCACCGAGGGGCCTGTGAAACAAAAGATTTTCCAGAGATCACTTAAACTAACAAAATGAATGTATCAGAAATGAATGTATCAAAAATAGATGTATAAAAAGAATGTATCAAAAATGAGTGTATCAGAAATGAATGTATTATGTTTGTAGAATTGTGTGTTGAATTTTAAAAAACCCCTGCACAGAAGGGCATAGGAAAGAAAAACAAAGATCTCTAAAGCTGCTTGCAAAGGACAAATACCGGAATGGACAAAGAATGCTAAGACCCCAGACGAGGAAGCCCTATGTCGCCAGCATGTCAAAAATGATGAACTTATCCAGATAAGAGAGCAAAGGACCAAAAGCGCAAGCGCAGAGGAGGAGAGTTCAAAAGTTCAATGCTGAGGAAGACTAAGATATAAATAAAAAGACCACCAGGGACCCCCATAAGAAACCCTCACAAAGAACTACGCGTGCCCAGAAAGGCGTGGACCTATTTAGCATGGGAAGCGAAGACAGGCGGGGCCAGGGGTTGAATATGCATAGAAAAATTGTGTAATGTATTGCATATGGAACACCTTTGTGAATAAAGTCAGGGGGCAAACTTCAGCTCGGGGCACAAGACTTCAGAGAGTTATCTCACTTGTGCCGAGCGCTCCCATACATACCCACTTCATAACTACCTCGAGTTGTGGAGTCTATTTATTTAGTCCGGATATCGCTTCATTTGGCGACCGCGGCAGGACTTCTCTGCTCACCTGTGGGTTCGGTGGAGGGCAGACACCCTCAGGCGCCGCGGGGCATTTTCCCCGGAGGGATTCTGGACCTCGGCTGTACACTACAGGGAGCAGAGCACGGCCCGTCGATAAACGGACAAAAGTGGTATGTATTATTTTCTTTTGTTTAAAAACGGCACTGATAAGTCGCATTAAAACGCTTCTTGCGCTCAGGTTTGCCAAAGGGGCTTGCAAGCAGACCGCCACCAAGGGTAAGATCGGCGGAGAGGGTGTTCCCCCCCTTTTTTTTTTTGTTTTGAGCTGATTGCGCGGCTAAAGGGGGAGGAAAGGGTTAAAATTCCGGAGCTGATTGTGCAGCTCCAGAGGAGAAAGAGAGGCCCCGCCTCTCCTTTTTGTTTTGAGCTGATTGCGCGGCTAAAGGGGGAGGAAAGGGTTAAAATTCCGGAGCTGATTGTGCAGCTCCAGAGGAGAAAGAGAGGCCCCCCTCTCCTTTTTTTGTGTTTTTGAGCTGATTGCGCGGCTAAAGGAGGGCTGATTGTGCAGCTCACGAGGTGAAAGAGAGAGATCTCCGTTTCAGTGTGGTGTGTTTGTTACGTCCGGACGTGCGTGCTTGTATATATGTGTGTCTGTGTGAGTGAAACAGTAAGAGCCGCGGCGCTACCGGAAGTCGCCGTGTAGCGTTGCTAAGCGACGCGGCGAAGCCGGGAAGCCTCGGCGCTACCGGAAGTCGCCGCGTAGCGTTGCTAAGCGACGCGGCGAAGCCGGGAAGCCTCGGCGCTACCGGAAGTCACCGCGTGGCGTTGCTAAGCGACGCGGCGAAGCCGGAAAAGCGCAGCGCTTTTGTTGCTAAGATACCGCGACGCGGCGCGGGCTGTCTCTGGTGAGCAAGAACGCAGCCCAAACTTGCTAACTACTAGCGCAGCTAGTAAAAGGCAGGACTTGCAAACACCACTTACAAGCATCACTAGTTCCTAGGTAGTCGTTGTGCAAAATCAAGAACATTTGCTGCTGAGTCCTAACTAACAAAAAAAAAAAAAAAAAAAAAAAAAAATTTTTTTTTGTTTCTCTTCTTCCCTCCCCAGTGGCCTGGATTACTGGATTACATTTGTAAGGCTCTAGGAGGCATAATGGGAGCAAAACAAAGTACAGAAATATCCAAGGCCAGCCCATTAGGGTGTATCTTAGCTCACTGGAAGGAAATAGCAGGTAAAGGGGGCGTGGAAAACAAAAAGAGCTTGATCAAATATTGCTCCCATTGGTGGCCACTCTATCGCCTAGAGGAGGGGGCCAGATGGCCTCCTACAGGTACATTGGAGTATAATACCTTGCTGCAATTGATGCTATTTTTACGAAGGGAAGGGAAATGGGAGGAAGTTTCTTATTGTGATATGTTTTTCTCCCTTAGAAATAACCCTGATTCTCCCTTAGAAATAACCCTGATTTGTGGCATCAGGGCCCCCTCTGATCCCCTCGTTCTGGCTCTGGAAAGAGAAAACAGAGGCAAAATGGGGAAACTTAAACGGTGCTGCTCAGCCTGTAGTATAGGACAGAGGTGCACCAGGACAGATAAAGTTTATCGCACAGCACTAGAAGAGCAAGAACAAGATCTAAGTAATCTATTTAGTCCTCACCTAAGAAGGCAAGAAGGAAGAGGTGAGAATTCAGGACAGGCATCACCACTATCTAGAACACCTCCACTACATACTCCCCAGCCCACCCCACCAGCATCACCTGAATTACCTGCAGTACCTGCAGTACCTGCAGTACCTGCAGCACCTGCAGCACCTGCTGCACCTGCAGCACCTGCATCACATACACCTGTTCCACCCACCCCTTCTCTTCCTTCAGAAAGAACACACGCTCTAACCCCTACAGATAGCCCAATTGCATCCCGAACCAGAGGACAGATACTGCAAGCCCCTTTAAGAGAGACAGTGACATTAGAGGGAGAAAAGGTACTAGTCAAGGTACCATTCTCCACCCTTGATTTGGAAGCATGGGAAAGGGTTGCAGGAGATTACCGAAATGACCCAGTCAACACTGCTAAACGTTTACGATACATTATGAAGCAACACAACCCAGACTGGGGTGACATTCAATTGTTATTAGATGCGTTCACTGAAACAGAAAAGCAGTTGGTTCTAAAAACAGCAGGAGATCTGGTAGCAGACCATTTTAGAGAACAAGAAGTAGATCTAAGGGAACATTTTCCACTTCAAGACCCAGGCTGGAACCCAAATCAGCTAGAAGAGAGACAAAAGCTAAAAAAGTACCAAGACTGGGTAATATTGGGAGTGGAAAGAGCAATTCCTAAGACCATAAATTGGTCAGCTCTATATGCTATCAAACAGGGACCCTCGGAATCCCCCACAGAGTTCCTAGACCGTTTGAGAAATGCAATGCGGCGCTATACACCACTAGACCCTGCATCTGAGGTGGGAATACAGCAACTAGTTAATCTATTTTTGGGACAGTCCACAGGGGATATCAGGCGCAAGCTCCAGAAGATTCGAGGAGAAAACGCCCGGAATCTAGAAAATCTACTGGGAGAAGCCTGGGGGGTCTTTAGCAACAGGGAGGAAGGATATAAGCGAGGGATGAAAAATTTAGTAGCAATAGTACAGGAGGAGCGGAGAGGAAAACATGGAAACAGGCAGGAGCCATCCAGGCAAGGCCCCCCCCGATTGGGCAGAAATTAATGTGCAAACTGTCGGAAACAGGGCCATTGGAAGAGGGACTGTCCAGAATGGAAACAAAATGGTCAAGGGAATCAAAGGGGGGCAATGGTGGCCCATGTGCAAGAAGATTAGGGAGGACCGGAGGAGACTACCCCAGCAGGCCCTCTGGTTGTAAATCTGAAGCTGGGGGAAATGGAGAAAGAAGTAAGATTCCTAATTGACACTGGGGCTACATACTCAGTTCTAAATACAGCTTTGATGCCTATAGGAGATGATTATGTTATAGTTACGGGTGCGACTGGCCAAACTGAAAAGGCATTTTTCTTCAGGCCACTCAAATACAAACTGGGAAAGCAGTGGGGGATTCACAAATTCCTATATATGCCTAACTCCCCTGAGCCACTTTTGGGCAGGGATTTGCTAGCACAATTACAAGCAACCATTACATTTAAAAATGGGGAAATGACTCTGGAGGTAAACGATCAAAAATATGTAGAAATATTAAGTTTGATACTAACCACTAATGAAATCACGAGAGAAACTGAAATTAATGAAGAAGTAATGGATCAGGTATTCCCTGGGGTGTGGGCCTCTGATGTACCAGGGAGAGCGAAAAATGCTTCCCCTATACAGATCCGGCTAAAAGAAGGAAAACACCCGGTCAGGGTTAAACAGTATCCCTTGAGGAGGGAGGATAGGGAAGGGATTAGCCCAATAATTGAAAACTTCTTACGTCTAGGAATTCTCAAGGAATGTCAGTCCGATTTTAATACCCCTATCCTACCGGCCCGCAAACCTGATGGGTCATACCGGTTAGTACAAGATCTGCGAGCTGTGAACAAGGTAACTGAGGACCTGCATCCTGTGGTAGCCAATCCTTACACGTTATTAACTTGCTTAACACCCGAATTAACTTGGTTTACCGTTTTAGATTTAAAAGATGCCTTCTTTTGCCTTCCTATCCATGAAGCCAGTCAGAAAATTTTTGCATTTGAATGGGAAAGCCCCAAAAGTGGGCGGAAGACCCAACTTACGTGGACGAGACTCCCACAAGGATACAAAAATTCACCCACTCTGTTTGGAGAGCAACTTGCGAAGGAATTAGAGACTTGGAAAGCCCCTCCCGAAGAAGGAAAGCTGTTACAGTACGTAGATGACATCCTGATAGCCACACGGACAAAGGAAGCATGCGTGGCCTGGACGGTAAGCCTCTTGAACTTTCTGGGGCTCCAAGGGTACCGGGTATCCAGGAAAAAGGCCCAAGTAGTCACACAAAAAGTAATTTATCTGGGTTACGAAGTCAGTGCTGGACAACGTAGCCTGGGCCAAGGCCGGAAGGAGGCAATATGTCAAACCCCAAAACCTCAAACTGTAAAGGAGTTACGAACTTTCCTGGGGATGACAGGGTGGTGCAGATTATGGATCTATAATTATGGACTGCTTGTAAAGCCTTTATATGAACTAATTGCAACTGAAAGCAGGGACATCCAGTGGACAAAGGAAACTACACAGGCTTTCAACCAACTGAAAAAAGCCCTCATGTCAGCTCCAGCTCTGGGACTGCCAGATGTGAGTAAGCCTTTCCTTTTGTTCTCCCATGAAAAGCAAGGAATTGCCTTGGGAATATTAGCACAGGACCTCGGTCCATACCGGAGAGCAGTTGCTTATTTCTCTAAACAGTTAGATACAGCCGCTAAAGGGTGGCCTGGGTGCCTCAGGGCTGTAGCAGCAGTTGTAATGAACATCCAAGAAGCACGTAAATTCACCCTGGGCCAGAGAATGACTGTGCTAGTGTCTCACACGGTGTCTGCAGTACTGGAGGTGAAAGGCGGACACTGGCTTTCCCCACAACGATTCCTGAGGTACCAAGCTATTATGGTAGAACAAGATGATGTAGAGATAGTGGTGACTAACATTGTCAACCCAGCTTCCTTCCTCAGTGGAAACCGAGGAGAACCAGTGGAGCATGACTGCCTAGAGACCATTGAGGCCACCTACTCCAGCCGCTCTGACCTGAAGGAAACCCCTCTCGAGAATGCAGAAGCCTGGTTTACGGACGGAAGCAGTTATGTCGTCAATGGAAAACGGCACGCCGGGTACGCAGTAACCACCTGCAAAGAGGTAATAGAATCTGGACCCCTGCCAACAAATACCTCTGCACAAAAGGCCGAAATATTCGCCCTAACTCGGGCCTTAGAATTGGCAAAAGGGAAAGAGATAAATATATATACAGACTCAAAGTATGCTTTCGGAATAGTGCACGCTCATGGAGCCATCTGGAAAGAGAGGGGACTGCTGAACTCTCAAGGGAAAAACATTAAACATGCATCTGAAATACTGCGACTTCTGGAAGCAGTGCAATTGCCAGAGAAAGTAGCGATCATGCACATTAAGGCACACCAGAGGATAAACTCAGAACTGGAAGAGGGAAACGAGCTGGCGGATAGGAAAGCAAAAGAAGCAGCAAGGATGGAGGTAATAACTGAGGTAGCACTGATCCCAGATGGGCAGATTTCCCTCGAAGGTAAGCCAAAATACAACAAATTAGACACAAAATTGATTCAAGAGCAAAAAGGACATTATAACTCAGAGGGATGGGCTACCATAGAAGGAAAGTTAGTCATACCCTTCTATTTATTATGGTCCCTAGTAAGGGAAGAGCACCAGAAAACACATTGGGGAATAGATGCCTTGTATAAATATCTGAATGAGAAGATCATAGCTAGACATTTACGAGCCACCATCACTCAAGTGACTCGACAATGTGATCTTTGCCTCCAGACAAACCCCAAGAATATTCCCAAACCAAAACTTGGCCAGATTGGGAAGGGCCATGGGCCAGGACAACAATGGCAGATTGATTTCACGGAATTACCAAGAAAAGGGGGGTATAAGTTTTTACTAGTCCTAACAGATACCTTTTCAGGATGGCCAGAAGCCTTCCCCACCAGAACTTCTAAAGCTCGAGAGGTAACTAAGGTATTGGTACAAGAAATCATACCACGATTTGGGGTCCCGGCTACAATCTCCTCAGATAGAGGATCACATTTTATTGCAAAATTAGTACAACAGGTGAGCCAATACTTGGGCATAGACTGGGAACTTCACACCCCATATAACCCACAATCAAGTGGTCAAGTAGAGAAAATGAATCATTTGATCAAACAACAAATTGTACGGCTGGGACAGGAGGCTAATTTGCCATGGCCCCAATCCCTCCCACTAGCACTACTGCGGATTCGAACCAAACCCAGGACCAAAGAAAAACTGAGCCCTTTTGAATTGCTTTATGGAAGACCATATGGGGTGCAGAAGGGAACGTCTGCCCAGGACGTATCACTAACCTCCTATATGATCGCTCTAAATAAACAACTTAGAGCAATCGAGAAATATATAGCCGGAACTCGGGGTACGGGACTCGATGCACCAGTACATGATGTACAACCTGGAGACTATGTATATATTAAGTCTCTTACAGAGAAAGCCCTGGAACCACAGTGGGAGGGACCATACCAAGTACTCCTTACTACCTTCACTGCAATCAAGATTAAGGAACAAAGCGCCTGGATCCACCACAGTCGGGTTAAGAAAGCTCCAGAAGCCACTTGGAAGATAACACCGGGTGATGGTGAACTAAAACTAAAATTTACTCAAACAAAATGAGTATGTCATGGTGGGTGGGGACTTTTACTGAAATATTGTTTACAATCTTAGCTGCATTCCAACAATTAGAAGGTAAACCTAGTCAGAACGACGTTAAATGGCCTTGGTCCCAAGCCTTTACTCAATACACTGGATCCATGGGGAAAACTTCCGATTTAGAAGGTTTAAATCTAACAACTCTGGTCATACACAGTAATCAAATATATACCCAACAAGAGTGGCAAAACCAGGGTTTGTGGTCACTCCAAGGGACCATAGGAGAAGTAATTGAAGTAGGGTGTCGAATGATTAATGGGACTACCCACAACAAAGTGACTCAAATCAGTGTAAATGATCGCCAAGAGATTTGCAACCATCCAAATGAATTAGACTGTTGGTGCAAATTCAAATTAGAACAAACTAGTAAAGTGGTTTGCCTCTGGGCCCGTGACACTATTGGGCTGTCCTTTAAATTTATAATAAATGCTATAGCCAAACCAGCTACGACCCACTCCAGCACTCAAGCGCAAACCCAAAATACACCATCCAATCTTGAACCTAGAGTTTATGAAATCGGGCCATATGTTATAAGGAATACGGGCCAACAAAAACTGTTATTTAACCCAGAATGGTCCCTTAAACGCGTTGAACTGTTAATGCAAATTAATATCTCGACAGTTCAGCCAGCCTGCTCCCCTTTCCTAAGGTCGTCCTTCGAAGGATGGACAAAGTGGCTACAGAAACGAGTACACCTCCGAGATAGAATGCAAAGGGATTTGACTGGGATCTTAGGGACCGGGTTAGGAGTTCTAAACGGGATTGACTCTGAAATATTGATGAATAAATTAGCTATAGCAACTAGTGACCTAACAAAATTAAAACAACCCTTACAGTCATCTCTATTAGCACTAGGAAATAGTCAGTGGCAAGTTTCAAGAGTATTGCCAAAATGGAGAAACTTTGAAGATCATGACCATAGTTTACTGATAGATGCATTAGGAGGAGCACAAGAGAACATATCTTTAGCCCTTAGTTGTATACAAGCGCAATTATGGATACAGTCAACAGCTGCTTTAATCATAAGAGAAGGAAGTGAAGGGGTGTTTCCAGTAGAAATACGAAAAGTTGTCTGGGACAGTGCTACAGACTTTGAGAGAGACCTCCAGTCTTGGTGGACCATGGTAAATTTTACATATGATCCCACCACTACCACAGCTACTGCCTTCGTGCTCACCGTTTGTAATGCCACGGTTCACACTATTCACCCCATCATTGCTCTAGGATTAAGTCATGAAAAGTCAGTACTCTACCCCTCAGAACACAGAGCATGGGCCTGGAAAAACCAAGGGAAATGGCAAACCATCAACCTAGAGCCTTGC